ACCGCTGAGGTGCGGCCGGCACTGCAGAGATACTGCAAAAACGGGAAAAGGAGGCCTTGCTCAGAGTAATTCGCCGTTTCTGCTTTGCAGTGTGTGAAGCACTTTTTTTCCGGTTCTTATAGCACTTTGTGCTGCCGGTATACGAATCCATCAGCTCGTCAGGAGGTGATATTGCTGAGCCTGTCCTTCAGACCCCCAGTGCCAGCGGGCAGCAAACACGTGGTGGGGAGGAGAGAAATGCCTTGAGGCTGACACTTTTCTTCCACCCGTTGAAAATGGTGGCTTTGTACCATTCTAGAAAACTTTACTGACGTGCGGGAAGGGTTATTTCTCTCCCGTGCTTGTCAGAGTTAAAATAAATGAAAAGTGACGATTATTTCAGTTACTACATAAAGAACTTTTTTCTAAGAATGGTAGAAACATCACTTGCAATAGCCTAGTTAAAAAGCATAAGATCATATTTCTAGAGGATTTTTTTTTTACTGATATAGTATTTGTTAACTGTATTCATAAGGCTTACATATTATGCCTGAAAGGTTCCTTGACTTCAGGGTTTGCACTACTGAACAGAAGCCAGAAGTTTTTTGCCTGACCATGTTGTCATGGTCTTTCTGTTTCAGTGAAAAAAATGGGATGCGTTGTTCAGGCTTTAGTGTGAATCCTCGACATTTATTTTCCATTTGCCTAAAACTGGGAGTATTATAAGTCAGCACGGTACAGTGCACATTACAGGTGGTGTGAACAGAGAAAAGCACTGATACAACCAGGCCACAGAGAGTAAACTACTGAAGGCTTGCTGTGGTTCCAGCTCTGAGTTAGCATGGGTTGGTTTTTTTTTCTTCCAGGTACTGTGTTTTAATATGTATGTGTTTGGAGATATTCCCCGTAGCTTGTGTTGTTTTGTCTGCCGCCTTTTCTAATCCAGGGCATTTGTATTTTCTCTTTTTTCTTTCAAGGTGCAGATAGCTTTTCCTGAAAATGCCATGGATGGCCTAGTGCCTGGTTGTTGAGCAGGCACCTTCTTAGGCTAGTCAGGCACAAAGCTGCTGCTTTATTAAGACGTGTTTTTTGCTTCTTTCAGATGTGAAACCTGTAGCAAAGAAGAAGCTAAATACAGATGTCCACGATGCATGAAATATTCGTGCAGGTATCTGTTATCTGAATTACACTGTTTTGGGTATTTTCTCCATTATGTGCTAAACATGTTTATCTTTTCCTTTTGTCGTTTCAGTCTGTTGTGTGTAAAGAAACATAAGCTTGCACTGAGCTGTAACGGAGTCAGGGATAAAACAGCGTTTGTCTCTGTAAATGAATTTACTGACTTGAACCTTTTGAGTGGTAAGAATGCACCTTGTGCTTTTTAAAATTCTTTGATTTTACTAGGTTAGCACTACATTTTTCTTTGTTCTCTTTTTATCTTCAGATTATCGTTTCCTGGAAGATGTAGGAAGGACAGCTGATGCTGCTGCTCGACATTGTATTGTGCATAGTCCAGCAACAAAAAGACTTGTAAGTTTTTAATTAGCCACTTGGTCTTTTAGAGTTAGGATTGACTACGTTTGAATTTCCACTGAGGCAGTCCCAGTCCAGATTTCAGAGCTGATACCTCTCCTACGAAGGTGTGGCCCTGGATTTTAGAGCCAGACATCAAAAGAAGTCTCTAGGTTTATGCAATAATAGTATTGATGGCTACGTCCAGTTGCTTAGAAGAATAGATTGCTAACTATGTACGTTCTTAAAATTGATGCATGATCACTGTTACTGTTGGATAATAGATGTGTTTTAAGAAAGCCTGAATGTTTTCTTCCACCTCCACAATGTTTCTGAATTTTTAAGTACAAAATTCCAAGGTAAGCAATGGGTTTATTTATTGCCTAAAAATTATTTTATGCTTCCCTGTATGCTAAATGAAGGCACCTAGTGTTTTTCAAAGAACAAGTCTACACAACTATGACTTAAAAGCCAGCCTTCTAAGGGTGAGGGGCCTTTTGTGAAAGCTCTTTCAACAACCAACCAAGCAAACATACCCCGCAGAGAAACAAACAACAAAAAACCACAACCAAATCTGATACAAACTATTTTGACTTGTTGATATGTCACAAAAAGGCATCAGGGCCATTTTGTTTTCCAGTCTTGTGAAGACTTCTTTAAATATAGCACTGAACTCAGAGAGAACTCATGTTGATGACAACAATAAATTCAGAAGACTCCAGCTTTTCCTCAGGCTGGAGTCATACTCTGTGTGCGTGCTTGGTACCATGATGTCCTGAAAACATGGGCTGAAGATGGTAAGATAGGTAGCAGTTTTTGGGGTATGGTGGTACTGGGTATGTTTGTAGGATGATACCCATAGTGCTACCTTCAAATTAGAATTTGTGTCTGAGATGGTGCTTGTGTATCTCTTCTGCTAATGGGGTTGTAGCCCAAAAAGCAGCCACATGGTGGTATTATACCTAAGAGAGCTGCCTGTAACTTTCATGATATGTTAAAGAACTTTTACTATGAAGAGCCTATTGGTGTCTTCTTTTTTAATCATAGAAAAACTGCTCCTGAAATGTTTCAGAGAGTTTGTAGGCTTACTTTATTAACTTTTTCATTCGTTATGGGTTTTTTTAAATTCAAACTATTATATTAAATATGACCTTTTCCACAAATTTCTGATAATTCCTGTTAGTTTTTATTGTTTAAGTTTCAGGTTTTAAATATATTATTCAGAGATTTTTAAACAGTGTTTTTATTTTTTGCCAGTTACAGTGCTTGAGAAACAAAGCTCGAGGGTGTAATATTGAGCTGAAAACACTGCCTGTGGGATTTACAAAAAGAAGAGAAAATTCAACCACGTTCAATTCCATGTGAGTCTTTGGTTGGTTATAGTCAGCAATGTTTTGTTTTCTCTGAGCATATAATGATGAGAATTTGAGTTCATACCAATACACTTGCTTTTAAAATCTGTTAGACGAATATTCTTTTTTAAAAAACTATGTAGAGTTAATATTTCATGCTTCAGGTTTTCATTTTTTATGCTCTTTGAGCTCACTTTAACAGCTTACATAATTCATGCTTTATTTTGAAAAATGCCAACATTGTGTAATAGTAGGTGTGTTTTTTTCTTTTACTTAATTTTGAGTTTTGTTACTGGAAAAAGAAAATCCTTTTTCAAAGTTTTATAACAGAGGATTGATGCAGAAGGCTTGCACAAATTCTTCTCTCTGAAAAGACTGACTTCAAATCTGAAGAGGTGCTTCCAATACAATTCTGTGTTGCATAATGTGATGGGAGTTGCTGTGCTGGATGATGTGAATGTTTGGTGCAGCACAGCTTAGACAAGTGCAGACAGTCAGATATGAATTCAGGAAGAACTTTAAATTCAGGAGACTTTAAATATTCTTCCCTTTATCCACTCTGTGGGTATTTTCACAGTAAAAATAAAATAAATTGCAAAGTATTTTATTGTGACAGCAATCAGGTCTAGAGTTCAGCTCAGTGATATACTGGGGCAAATATAAATGCCTTCTGAGCTTCTCACAGGAGTGAGCTGTGCTGAATCCCCCTGATGGCTTCTTCCCTTGTTTTCTTCATGGTCTCAGTTTTGGTGGCAAGTTGTGTTTTCAGGATGTATTTTTCCCTCTGTTCTGGGAGCTGTGTGCTCTGAGGTGTCAGGCACTGCCTGGCCACCAGAGGTCTGTCTCTGACAGAGTAATAACCACCTGGAAACTTTTTAACAGACCCACCTGTATTGTTTGGGCTGTTCTGGGGCAAAAGCACAGGGCATGGGTTTTGTAGGTATATTAGTTTTCAGCAGAACATTAAGCGTAGAATAGATGTAGAAGTGTAACCTTTTTAAATTACATATTTTATTGGTTCTGCTAGAGAAAACCCAGGGTGAACCAGTGAAAAGAAAGGAAATCTGAGGTATTTTTCCTCCCTCTACCCCAAATTAATAGGTCTCTGAGGCTTTCCCATCAGAACAGACCTGGTTGTAGTCCCAAACCTTGCAGAGGTTGTCTCCCTCTGCACTGGCTTTCTTTACCTTGGCTGCATGCTCTACATTTTACAGATGCCTCTTAGTAGTCTCTTGCTGTTGTAATATCTTTGGCTTAGAGCTGAGTTTCGCTGAGTTTCACTGAGTTTCCTTAATGTTATGGATAAAACAACATAAACACCCTTACCAAGTACAGAGTGAGGAGTTGTCTTTAAGAGCAAGTGCAGGAAGCCCAGGGATGCTGTGTCCAGTAGCTAAGAGGACAGAAGAACGGAAAGAGCACAAATACGGGGAGGGCTGACATTTTTGAGATGACCCTGAGCATGATACAGTGCTGTGCTGGCAGAAATTTGCCTTCATGTACCATGTTTCTTTCCTCTAGAAAGCCTTTTTGGGTACACACTGAAGTGTAGCTTTCACTGGGAACAAACTTTGAGCAGGTTATGCTTTCATGTGTATCGTGTGCTTTTTGTTGTTTAGCACAAGCAGATTTAAAAATGGAGTAAGGAAGGTGACTTCTTGGCAAATAGGTATGGAAATATTTCACAGACTGGGAGAATGCCTTACTGGTTTTTATCAGTCATAAAGTCCTGGGGTACTTTTGTTGTTGCCTTTCTGGGGCTTTCACATCCCACCAGAAAGAACATGATAACATTCTCTGTTCTGAAGAGGATAGGAAGTAACTGTTTTTTTCCTGTAGAGGCTGTCCAAGGGTATGGAACATGCTCAGTGAATATTACACAACGGGTACATTTCCTCTCTGTTGCTGCTACTGTTGCTCACGCAACAATGGGCTGTTTGAATTCAACGATGCTGATTAGAAGTTATCCTGTGTTTTTTGGGGGTTCTTTTTTGGTTTTTTTGGTCGTTGGTTTTGTTTTTTTTAATTGGCCTGTTCTGCTAAGTTTCCTTAAATGGGTTCTGGAGGAATCAAGTTTGATCAAACCAGTGAATATCAGGCATTTCACACCTGCCCCATGTGACTTCGTGACACCCATAACCTTTTATTGAATATTACATTCAAATTGGGTAAAGCTGTGCAAATAGTCACATGTCAGTTATATGAGCTCAAGGCCTGGTGTATCCCTCTTCTGTAGATTTGAACCTCTTCTCATGCCATTTGTCAGTTGAGATTTGTAGAAAGATTGCTCCAGAGGGTGGAAGTTGGAAACTGCTCAATGTATGTGCGTGGAGAACTGAGAACAGTCTTCTCTGATGTCGTCTTCACGCTCTCCCTGCGAGCCAACTGTTGGGCTGTACAAGGCAGGAATGAGAGTAATCCGAAACTAGGAAGTACAAGATGTATTCTTGTGTCATCCCTTGCCCGTGCCAGCTCTGGAGGACAGATCAGTGTTGTTTCAATGTGTTAACCAGCCTCTTCATTTCCCGGTTTCCATTAGTTTGTTTGCTAAATTTGATGTTGTGAAAGCGTACGTGCCAATGCTGGGCAACACATGGATTAGACTAACATGTGATATTGAATACCTAGATAATGGAAGGTCATTAGAAAGTAGAGTCTGAGTCCAGCTTGTGAACTCATGGTACATCTGACTTATTATTCATAAATTATTTTTCATGTGCTGCTTCATCCTACTTTTCCTGTGGTGCCCTTATTTTCCAATAGAACTGAAAGTTCCTCACTGGATGCATTCTGCCATGGAGTTGATGGGGTGACCTGCTGTGATAGGAGGCCTTTGGGAAAGGGGTGGAGATTGTGGCCAGGCTGGGATAAGGCCTGGAGGAGCAACTGGGAAGCTCTAGCCAGCAGGTGATAGAGTGGAGGGAGCTTGCAACTCCATGGCTCCTGGTTCCCTGACAGGAGATGATGATGGCAGTAGTGAGAGACTGAAATGGAGCAGTGCAGCTCCCTCAGCTCTGCAGCTTGTGCTGCCCTGCTCCAACCCTCCCTCCTGGCTGCACTGTCATAGGCATCTACACCCAGCTTCCTACCTGCTCCGTTCACAGCATCTCCCAGACAAAATCGTTTTCATCTTTCCTCCCTGCCAAGAGGGACAAGAGGACTACAAGTCTCCTCCCTGGTGGAAGGCATGCCTGCAGCTTGAGAGCATCTGGTCAGAGGATATGTGTGGGAAAAGGAGGAAGCTTTTACATTATCTCTCTCCTTTGATTTAATTGTGAGAACAAAATATAGTGTGGAGATCAAGGATTAGCATCAGTTAAGAGAACATTAGCATTACAGAAGCTACTTGTGAGGTACACCTGAAAGCCCTAAACTCTGATCTTAACTTAGGAATAATTAAAATAAATTGTTTGAAGTGTTGACGATCTTGAGAATTTAACAAGGAGATTTCTGAGCTGGGTTTTGGCCTAATATTACACTGGTGGAGCTGTTGAACTCGAATTTAGTTGTTACTTAGTACATAGTTTTACTTGCTTTCTTGAATCCACTAAAGTTCTCGGGCAAAGGAATGCTACTCTGGGGTGGTCAGAGAGCAGGATGTTCTGGTATTTCAGTAGCTTTTCAGGACATCCCCATGTGAAGACAAGTACTGAACTGAATTCTCTACCCGGGAATTAGTTTCTTCTGTTTTTTTGCAACTGAAATGTGTCATTTTCACAGTGAATGTGGTGGTAGTTTTGTTTATTTGCATAAGTAAAGAGGACAGTAGTTTTATTCTTTAAAGATTATTACAGTTTGGGTTACTCTGCCTTGACAGTGTCCCTTTGATTTACACAGGGCTCTCAGTTCAAGCCTGGTATGTTTGATTATTGCAGCACACATGGTTAGTAATGCCCCTGCTGTTGTAAGGCCCCCTGATAGAAGACCATATGTGTTACAGAGGAAGTGCACTTCAGTGTCTTCATTGATTGTCTGGCTGTTTACTGTAACTAAGAAACATACAAACTTTCAGTAGAAACATTTCACTTTTGCTGTGTATATTTCAAATCCAGGAATTAGCTTGATGAAGTTTCAAGAAGACAGAGACATCCTCTCTTTTGTGCCACTATTAGAAGTGCAAAGTCAATTTGGCACTAGGAACGCAGAGTTTCAGGGGACCAGGGGAGATGGAATCACCACATCTCTGCATGTTCTCTTAATTTAATTTTTTAAGAGAATCTCTTCTCTTACTTGGACTGAATCTTCATTGCTTAAGAAAGTTGAGGAAGGCAATATTATCCAAAAGTATGCATACTGAACACCTAGTACTTCTATTAAACTTCAGTGTAATATGTGAGAGTACTGAGTATTGTCAGATGAAAGGATAACTGGTCCGTCATTAAACTTCTTCATGTCCCTTTAATCTCTTTTATGAGTTCAAAATGACACAGACAGCAAGTACTATGGTATTCACAGTTTGATGCAAGATGTCCTGTATACTGTTTTTAAAATATTTTAAGAATATCAGTTGCTAAATAGAAGCAAAATCACCAGTGAATCACTATTGTTGACAAGCTGGCAGTGAAGTAGTTCTGCAGAGCAAGAATTGCAGTTGGTATCTTAAGATGTGAGGAATTTGAAATTGTTGTCAATGTATGTTTTAGTTTGCATACATATGTACACACACTTAAAAAGGTTATATATGTATAAAATCTTCTACTGCATTCTAGGCAAAACTGGGAGGAAATTTTCAGAGGAAACTTAAGTAAGAAAGTTAAGCTTTATGAGATATAAATGTTTTAAGAACTGTGTAAACATTAAAACTTCTAAAAATCTGCCAAGACACTTAACAGGTATGTCCAAATCCTCTGTAGATCTGTCCTTTAATGCCCAGCAACTGTTCTGCCTATACCTGCAGTACTTTGAGCATCTTCACAGATACTGCAATAACTGTAAAAGGTGATGAGGATTTTTGCAGTTGTTCTGAGAGCCAGCTGGAGGTAACAGCCGTGTTGGATATACTGGTGCTGTCTTTGTAACATCAGAAATAAAAATCTTTCCGTTGTTACTGTGAAAAATTTTAAAATCATTTATATGTAGTTCTGTGAAAACTACAGTAGAGTATAGAAAATGAGTTTTTGGAAGTTTTAGCAGAATTGAAAGGTTGATAGTTACTTTGCTTTAGAAGAGCAGGGGTTGCGAAACAGCCTGTGCATTTCTGAACATATTTTGCAGCTACATCTCATGCAAGGGAAGAGGTACTTGGCTCCTCTTTTTCCCTCTGATCAGTTTCCATGCTTCTGAAGTAGCCAGAATACGATGTGAAGCCAAGCAATGCAGGGATGGGCTGTGATGCTGCTTTTACTGACATCAGTGATGTGCTTATGCCTCATCCAGATCTCTGGTGTTTGGTAGTTTTATAGTCAGTGTCTTGGTATCCAAAAAACCGTGGAGTGGCGTTCCATGGCAGCAGAGCAGCATGGAAGACTTCATGGAGTGAGCTGTTACTCAGCTGCAGATGACTTACTCAATTACGCATTTTCATTTAGAAAATGAACATAGTGCATGTCTGTTGTATTTGAAGGAAATACTACCCCAGTGAGCCATAATGGAAGATTAGGTCAGTGAGATCTGGAGCCAGGATATCTAACTTTAATCAGAACTTGTTGTGAAGCAGCTTTGATAGCATCTACAGTTGACATCAAGTTCTATAACTGGGCAGAGATCACTCATGGTGAAAGATGCTTCACTTCAATAACAGGCACCCAGCAGAGACTTCACTGTACAGTGAAGAGGCTGTTCTAGTTCTAAGCTTCTTTTTGTCTTGCCTACTTCTACCATGTTCTTAATCTGTCTTGCCTATTTCTGCTTGCCATTTACTTCCATTTGAAGAGAGATGAAGTCATTAACTGCAGTTTGTGTTAGCTTGCTGAAAAGAAAAACCAACGTTTTTGTTTTTCCAAAGTGAAACTTTTGACAAGGAATGAGCTTTTTCACTTCAGCTTCCCTGATTCATAGCACTTTCTGTGAACTGTTCCATAGACCAGATTGTGCCTGGAATGGGGAGGGAGGGCGGAAGTCTGAAAAGAACCCTCTTAAGCTGATTTTACAGCTGCAGTGATGAACTGAGTCTGCCTCAGTGAGCCCACAGGGAACCAGTCTTGCATGTGAAATGAGAATGTGCTTTGTGACAACCGTTCTCACTGACACATGAAGAGTGTGCCTAACAACAGGTAACAGATAGCTAGAAGTACTTTTCTGGAGCATTTCATTTTTCAAGTGCCTGTGTTAGAGACAGCCCTCTTGACCACATAAATGTTTCTGTGAGCTGTGTCACAATTTGTCTGTTTCCTCTTGGGAGAGGAAGATCTGCAGTACTCACATTGCTTTGGCTGTCTTGGTTTAAAAATTTGACAGAAAGTCCGTATCACAGTAAGGGTGGGTCACTTAAGAGTAGATAAATATGGCCTGTTTGAAAAAATTGTGGAAGATGAAAAAGTGTTAGCAAGCCTCACTAATATATATTCTTTTAATAACTAAATTAACAGAACAAAACCCTCATCTAACAGTCCTTAAAGGCATTTTAATAAATATGCCCATCATTAATGTTTCCTACAGCTAATGATGGTGACTCTGTTTCTGTGTATAAAGCTTACTAACTTTTACCTAAAGTCTGCCTGGGAAAGTGCTTTGAAATAATACCATTCCATGTTAAATGGCAGATATTAACATGTCTGAGAGGAATCACAAGCTTGTTAATCACAAGTGAGCTGAACTGGTTCCATAACCCTATTGATATTCCAGTTTGCTCTGCATGTGTGGTAGTGTTGATGCTCCCTTTAGCTGTCAAGATAAGAATTGCAAAACCTTGTTTCACTTATCTTGTAAAAACTTCCAAAATTCCACTCGCTAATTTTGAGTTATTTCAGAACCTTTTGCAGTTTGGTAGTTGAAGGCAGTATACTAACATGCAAAATGGCATAAAATTCACGGGGCCAGATACTGTGCCAGCTTCTGGATATACATGCTATGTAATTAAGAATGTTTTCTATGTTATCCTTCAGCTCTGGTTGTACAGTCCTCTTAGTTCTTTCAAATCTGATGGGCTCTTAGTTTCACCTCCTCATTTAAGGAAGACATTCTCATTATCAGCTGCAACAAACGAGCAGAGAGAAGGGAAGAAGCACAGGGCCTGATGCACAGTTCTGCTGAGGCACATGTTGCTTTGAGGACCTTGGCCTTTATTAGTTCTTTGTAGTCTTAATTATTAGCTTCTTGGAGCTAGGGTTCCTGCTTGCTCTTTTTTTGGTAACCTTCTGACTTTACTTATACTCCAGGAAGTATAGTTCAGCTGTAAAGCTCAGTTTTCTCCTAAGAATAACTAGGTAAGGGATTGATTATTTGTTTGATAAGAGCACTTCATAACAAGTGCTTGCATTTAAAAATTGATATCATACTTAATTAAACTTAGCAGCTAAGTCTACTGTTTTGCTACTGGATGCACGTACACTTGTCTCTGCAGCCAGCTAGAACCTGCTGGTTAATGTTTCATCTGCCTGATAAACAAATAACACAACATGTTGGAACAACGCTGTGTTTACTTTTAATTGTAGTACCAGAACCTTTGCATAATTGACTGTGATTATTCTGGATACAATGATTCATTGGTCTTAAATAGCGTTGAAAAAAATAGTTAAAAAAAGAGGCAGAGAGAATTACCATTAGACGTTTCTATGCTTCACGTAGATGTTTGGCCTCTGATTTCAAAATCTTTGCTGTTTGCCATGTAAAATTCTGATCCAGAGCAAAGGGCCATGAACCTTTTAGACTGTGTTTTCTCTTAGAGGATTCTTTGAGAAAGGTACTGTTATATTCGCCGTACTGAATGGGAGAATTCAGAGCAATAAGAGGAAAAATGCTTTGTCTTAGATCAATATTGATTTCTGCAGATGAGCAAAAAGGCAGGAAGAGATTTCCTGATCTAGCAAAGTATCCTCTAGGTAATACTTCCTTTCTTAAGATCTCTGGAACTATGCTTCAGTAGCTTCTGTTCTCAGGTATTAATTATGCTAGCTGGAAAGGGAAGAGTTACAAGAGCTTTACAGAGCTTTTTGTCTTTACAAAGCTTTTTATTCTGTAAAATATTTAGTCTTTCTAAATTCTCTTATACATGTTATGTCAGAATGCAACTTCCTTCCTTGGCCATGACAGACTTTCTGTTGAGGCCATCACTGCTGGGAAAAGTTGAATCCCCTGTTTTATGTTTTTTGAGGACCTGACTGCAGCTGGGACTTGTGACTGTTTTTGCTGCACAGGTTTGGCAATCTGTCCTGTGTGATATGAAATTAAAGGGCATGTGGAATATACTCCCTTTTAAAATGTGAAATACTGTTGATCAATTAATTGATGTATTTGTAAGGAACAGGACTTGAAATTCAGCAGGATCTGGGAGCATTGCATCTTTCAAAGGGCACTTCAGCTTCTCTGCATGTCCCTTTTATTCTTTGAAGCCATTCAAAATCTTAACTATGTATTTTCTCGTACATCCATATTACAGGCTACCAAGCTTTATCATAGAAAAAACAAGTAGCAGTTATCAGCTAACACTAAGAATATGCATTTCTTTTTTTTTTTTTAGGGAGAACAAGTTCTACTGGCATTTGAAGCTCGTATTTCCTCACTGTCATGCTGAGTACACTTTAAAACGGTACAGAACTTGAAAAACAGATTTTTATAAAGTTTAAATTAATCTGCTGAAGTTGAATTGCAAAACATTTTGATCAGTTGTTATCTAGTTCTGTTACGTAAGGTAAACTCAGGAATTAGTCTTAATTAAAAGGGCATTTAAATTTTTAAAAATGTTGAAAAGTTGTATAGTCCTTTCCTCTTTGAAAGCTAGCAGGCTTTCCAAATCAGTCAGAATGTTTGGTTGTTAATCCTTTTCTCTATATAAACAGCAGCTTGTGTATTCATAATAGCAATACCCATACACCTAACATACTCTATTCTCATGGAGCAGATGTTCAGCAAGATTTGCCATCCCTCCTTGCCTGCACTCTGGAGCTGACCTTCATATAGGGTGAAATGGTTGCATTGTTTGCTTTGTAGGAAAGCCCACAAGCACATTTTGAAAAGGTTGAAAAATAAACTTTTGTTGACAAATCTTTCTCCTTTTTTCCTAGCCTGAAGGGGGGTGAGAAATATGCCCTTGTCTGCTTCTAGAGCTGTAGAGGCAGCATGTTTCTATTGCAGGGTTAGAAACTAGAGATGCATCTGTATACTCCTTGTATATGCCTGTGAAATTCCAGTGCTGAAATGGAGATAAAGCTGTCGATGTCTATGCAGTACTGGTACACATTTATGATCCTCCCATAAACTACTCAATTGTGCCACTCTAGCATGCAAATATACAGGTTCCTCCAAGTGACTCATAATAGATTTTTGTGTACATGATGAACCATGTCTCACATATTTGATTTTTATCTCTGGTGAAAGGGTGCCTGATGATAAAACACTCACTGATATCCTTAAGCCGTACATTGATCCAGTGGAGTCGGATCCTGTAGTTTGTCAAAGGTGTGTATTGAATAACTTTTCTACCTATTTCATCTAATGCACTAATAAAAGAAGGGAATGGTTCTGAATAAATACCTTAAATTAGCTGCACTTTTGTCTTGCAGAGCTGAGTTCCCAGTCAACAGTACATGTGATGAAAATCACCCTAACATTCACCAACCAACAAACCCTGGGGTATAACCACCAAATTTAAACCAGGAAAAGATTAAGAAATCAGCTCCTGGCATAAAGATCAAATAAAGTAACTAATTCTGAAAAATGTAACCATAATTAACCTCAATCAAGGGGACAGTAAATCTTTTCTTTAGAGTAATTAGAAAAACATACTAGTAGTTATAACCCTCATTTATAGGAAATACTTAGTATGTGGCAAACTGTCTTCATGAAAAAAATACATTCTTCTGGCTGTTGACATACAAAATATATCCATCTCTTATGGATGATAAGAAGAAAAGTCACTGTATATCACTGTTTCTTCATCTTTACTGCATTTTTCTTTTCAGATTAAAAATCTATACAGCATCTCCTCAGTCAGATGTACAAATTTTAATGAAAATAGAAAACAGGAGCCGAAACTCTGTCAGGTAAGGTGGTTCTTCAGTTTGTGTCCTTACTGATTAAAAATAACAAAAAGAAATAACACATTTCTTAGTCTTTTCAATATTATGATTGGAGATTACATAATCTCATGGATTAAACTTCAGTGAGTAATTACTAGCTGTCTTGAAAATTATTCAGCAAAAATGCTATTTCTTTGTCCTTTACTATGTCAACATTGAAATTTCAGTGCAATTATTAAGTGTGCCTGTACCTGAACTGCTTCAGCAGCAGCCCATGCCAGTATAACAGAACATAGGTTTGTGTTAAAGTGTTAAAAAATTGTAGACATCCATTCCCTTCTGGGAGTTCCTCTGTGGATATGTTAACCTCCCCAAGAGAGTTGAAGTGATAGTTGAAGAGAGTTGTTTTTTTTAATCACTGCAGCAAAAATTGTGTATATCAGAATCCAGTCACTGCATTTGAAATTATACATTTTTCTCAAAGTTACCAGCTCATTACTCTTCATGTTACCATATTTCTGGGTGTGGGCTTTTGTCTCCAGAATTCAGACTTGTGCAGAATTGTTTTCTTTGTTTCCAGAACAGAAAATAATCCTGAACTTTAAGGAAATAATTTTTGCTGGTTTAAATACCATTTTGAACACTCCACCCTGTTGTCATTGTTACTGGAAAGGATATGTATCAGCTTAGTATCATAGCTTATTGTGGTTGACCAGTGATTCCTAGTTAGGCATCTTAAAGTACATTCTTGTCTTCAAATGTAACAAATGTAAATAATATGCTTCCCTGAAACATGATATGTTATTTCTAAGGGCAGAGTAAAGGTATATTAAAAGAATTTTAGTTGTAACTGAGCTTCCTGTTTGTGCTGTATTTTTTCCCCAATAACATTTAAAAATGTGTAATGTACTTTGAAATTCAGGCCCAAACTGTTAATGATTTTGATTGATTTTTTTTTTTGCAATCATTATTTGAAATATGGTTGTAACATTTACCATCAGAGTTGCCAGCTAGAAACCTCTTGATTTTAAGTGAATTTGAGGATACAGAACCATTGTTCTTACACACAGGGAAAAAACATGAAATGCCTTGGGCTGCTCAGTACCCTGTGTCTGAGGGTTACAGGTGTGGGAATAATGAGTTTTCATTTGTGGACACTGAAATTGTCAGGTACCAACTGTTTCAGCTGAATGTTCAGAAGTCCCTGGGGCCTGATGGATTTTGTCCTGGAGTACTGAAAGACCCATTGGATGTTATGGCAAGGCCTCTCTTGATCATGTATTAAAGGTCTTGAGAGTCTGAGGAGGTCCCTGCTGACTGGATGTCATGGTTTAGCCCAGCAGGCAGCTAAACACTGCACAGGCACTCAACACCTCACATCCCCAGTGGGATGGGGAAGAGAATCAGGGGAAAAAAAAAAAGTAAAATTCTTGTTTTGAGATAAAGACAGTTTAATAGGACAGAAAAGTAAGGGATGATAATAATGATAAAATAATTAGAATATACAAAACAGGTGATGCCCAATGCAGTTGCTCACCACCCACTGCCCAGTTCCAGCCAGTTCCCAAGTAGCAGCCCTTCTCCAGCTTTGCCTTTAGTTTATACACTGACTATGTGTTTATATGTTATGGAATGTCCCTTTCGTCCAGTTGGGATCAGCTGTCCCTGCTGTGTCTTCTCCCAGCCTCTTGTGCCCCCCAGTCTACTTGCTGGTGGGGTGGGGTGAGGAGCTGAAGAGACTTTGACAATATAAGCATTAGTCTTTCACATTTCCTTTTTTAGGAAAAAAGGAAAAGTTGGTTTTGTAATAGGAGGTAAAGTTCACCTTTTGATCTTTTGAAGTGGAGTATTGTAAGTTTTGTAGAAGGCTTGGGAAAAAAAGACAGTTTAATATTGACTATTTCTTGTGCTCATCAGTTTTGTTGTTACTTAATCATTTTCCTCTTCTGAAGTCTCTATAATACTTTATTATTTCACAGATTTGAGTGAGAATTCTTCATGAAGTCAAATTAACTTTAATATTCTTAAGTTTGAGACTCATCTGTGTTCCCAGAATCAGCTGGGTTGGTCGATAACAAAGTTGGAGTAGTTGGTATTTATCCCACTCAGAGAATGCAAAGTTTATAGTATAAGAAGAACTGTAGAAAGTTAAAATAGAAGAGTGTTTTGACTTGAGAACTGCAGTTCCTCACTTGGAAATTATGTGAATCTCTTTGTATAAGTTGGCAGAGTAGGCCCAGCTGGGGCAACACAGACAGGTCAAGGAAACAGCATATTGGAAGAAAATTCCTCCTCTGAAAGGAAAGAACAAAGTTTGTTTGAAATTATGGGATTGCTGTGTCAGCAGTAATCATCTGTCGACATAAGCTGTGTCTGTGCCAGCAGGCACTCTCAGTGCAGTTGTGCTAGTGTAGTTGTTGTGACAAAGGCTCTATGAGGGAATTCAGATTTTTACTGTAGTTGCATTACAGTTAAGTAAGGAAGAATTTATTTTGATTTCTTCTCCTTTTTGTTCCCCAACCCTGGTTAAATTAATTGGGGCACTAATGGTCCTTATTCCATAAATCTATGCTTGGAATTGCAGTGGAAGTACTTGTGACTGAACCATGACCAGCTTGCTGCTTACTGGCCTTGAGTATGGAACAAAAGCTGAGTGCTAACAGAGCTCTCGCACCTTTCTTTATCCACATTTCTTTAACAGTGAGGATCTGTTAGTTTGTGTAGCCTTGAGTGCCACTGTCAGCTCAGAGTAATTTCTCATCCTGTGTCTCGCCACTCTGCAAGATTTTAGGCTATGTGTTCCTGTACGTCAGAATGCTCTTCCATAACTCTGTGGGCAGACTGAAGGAGTGGGATTGGTGTAGGCTACTAATACATCTAAGTCTACATGAATGTTGTGTTATCCACCACTTTATGACCACCAGACAAATTTCTGCTCCACAAGCACGAGATACTAGAAAAGCTGTAAAAATACATTGTTAAATCAAATGTTGTTTTTAGGCTTAGCAGAACCTTTTCAAAAAAGTATTTTTCATAGTTACAATTGCATATTATTGAGGAAAAGCAGTGGTGTTTTGGAGAGCATCTAAGCAGGATTATTATAGGTTACAAAATGTTAGTCTTTTAGTTTTAAGATAAGTATGCTACAGAAGGATTTTAGTATTTCCTGCAATTGTTTATGAAACAGGAGTTTGTGGTTTAGTTTTGGCTGTTTTCTGTGTTTCACAGCAAATGGCCCTTTTAGTTTGAAGGTCCTTTGTAGAATGCTTTAAATTTTTTGGGTCTTTTTTCTTCAAAAATTCTAATTAACCACATAGTACAGATTTCTGCTTTCTCACAGTTTTCTGCAGAACTTGAGAAAACCACTGTTGTGCAGGTATCATGGATAGCTGCCAAAGACAGTGCTTGCTTTCCTCAAGCTACGTGTCTTTTATCATCAGTGGGGACGGTTCTTAGAAAACGTTGTGATAAGCTCTTATTTCTGTCTTCTCTAAAACCAGCTTGTAAGAATTGCTTTCAATATTAATTAGTAGCACTCCACAGTTACCTGGGGTAACCGAAAGCATAATTTCTCCTCATGTCCTCTCCTTCCTACCTGTTATCTAATGCTCTATAACTGTTAGTTACATTTGATAGTCTTCTCATTAACTACATGTACTTTATGAGGAATCTTATGAAAGAGGATTTGAAAAAACAAGCGTTATACTATTATCTTCTTCCTTTAAAACCTTGGAAAAAATCTGCATTTGAATGGGTCAGAATAGTTTTCCATTTGGTACTGCTTGCTTCTATCACCTGTTATGCAATGTTTAGTTGGTGATTGGTGTCCATTCTCTCCTCAGCTGTAACTATTCCAAGAAAGGTTTAACTGCTGCCTCTTGGATGATTTTTACAGTCTACATTCTTTTATAAGTAGTATTTTCTTTCTTCAGGATAGATTAGTGTCCTGACTATCTTCAGACCTTTATTTGGGATGCCTTCAAAGTGACTTCATATGGTAAGAATATTGCTTTTTCCACTAAGGAAAGGAAAGATGCAATGGCTAAATTATACAGTCTGGTTTGGGAAATACACATTCTCATTCTCCTGAGGATAGCCTTATCAGGCTTTGTGTAACAAAAAAAACCCAAACCAAAACAGCCACCAACCCCTCCCAAAAAGAATTCTGAAATCCAACAGACCCTTGGTATTTGTCAATAGTAAGTTAATAGTTAAAAGTTGGGGGTTTTTGTAACTACAGATACTTAATGAAAAATTTATTTACTCAGCCTTATCATATAAAATGATCCTATTTCTGCAAGAGAAATAACTGCAACAAACTTAATTTACAGTAGATACTTTGGTATCTCTTTTACTGGGTTCAGTAACATCTTGCACAAATCTGGTTTAGATACTTTACTCTTTAATCACATGCATTTAGTTTAATAGAACTAAAAAATAATGCTTTCTTAAGGATCAATGTTAAGTCTTTTGTATAGTAATGTTCTTTTTTGCCTATTCCAAATGGCGTGTGAATGTTTTTTCAGAATAAGTTGTTGTAGAGAACTTCTTGGGGATTTGAAGATAGGAGTAGACACTGACAGGATATTTAGATGCCTGGAAAATATAATAAAATATGTCTGGTTGGCCTTAAGAGCTTTGCAAAGTGCTTTCAGTGGACCACATCCTTGAAGGAGCTGGAGTACAGAGTGTTACCAGATTGTATCCTGTCACTTTCCTGTTGTAAAACTCCCACACCATACAGGGATGTATGTAGAATCAGCTGTAGAATTGTTTTCTGTGTCAGTAGTACTGCTGCAGCTCATGCTTCAATTACTCAGAAAGCAAAAAAAAAAAATCAAAGGAATTTTTGTGCCTGTTCCAGCGTCAAGGTGCTTCTTACTCTCTGTGGTGACACTGGCTGGTGCACATGAGAACACTGGCACATTTGCCACTTATTTCTGGTGGACCACAGACTAGAAAATCTGCTAGACAAGTATCAGAGGTTCTTCTCTACTGAGTGCCATTGCTTTATGGTGGTGAAG